GCACTTATTCTTGGCTGGGCAATATGCTAGCTAGATATGCTAGGTACAAATATCATTGAATAATGGAGCAATCCAGTAAGTGAGAAGAAAACTGTAATAAGTATGGCAAATGCTATGTCAACTAAAGATACATCTGTTGTTCTGTAAGAATTCATATAAGGAAACAGTTCAAGATGGGATCAGAAATTACTTTCTCTTGGGGCACAAAGGAGAACATCCCATACATTTCTGGGTTCCTCTTGAGCTTGACAAGAAATCAAAGCAGCATCAGACAGGTTAGCAAAGGAAAAACAGTCAATTTAATAACATACATATGGAGAATTTGCATGGCTATAAACTCTGAAGAGTAATAGAGCAGACCAGGAATTTTTATTTTGTGTTGGAGAACCTGGAGCATCAAGGACAGAGAGAAGATGTCACATAATGGACAAGGAGAGGATGATCACATCCTGACTCTGAAAGATGAGTTTCTTAAATGCAGACAAACATGTTTAATAAACCCACGATGGGGTGAGACTCACAAACGCCATTCTTCTAGGTGATCAAGGAAGAGAAGTGATCACTTCTTTAATTAGGAAAAGTACAGAAGTTCAATACATGGTGATCTCTTTGATTAGGAAAAGGCAAAGAATTTCTTAGGCAAGCACAGATTATACTAGACTTCAGGGTGCTTGCTGCTTTCACTGCAAAAAAATTTGATTCTTCAAGTATTAGTAACAGACTCCTGTGGCTTCCAAAGCTTTAACTGACCTCCAGTGACAAGAGGTCTGCAGAGGGCTTATTGAGAGAAACCTTTGTGACCTCATACTTTCAAGAAGATAACACTCTTCATCTTAGTTTTGAAAGTGAAAAATGAGTCAATAATTCTAACAGAGGAAGCAACATGTTCAGAGATATGAAAATAGGGGAAACTGCAAATAGCGATTCTTACAATAGGACAGGACTAAGACAATAAATGGGGGTCAAGACTTGGTCTCAGAACAAGCTGAATCACTAAAACTGGGTCTAAGGTTTAGAATAGAATTCTAGCAAAATCAATAATATGAAGACTGCTAGGTTTTACAGTCCCCACACATACCCCATATTTGTTCAGAGTGCCATGATAATAATTGTAACTAGAATCTTAGGTGGGAAAGAACTCATGAAAAGGATAAAGAAGAAACTATTGATAAGATGAAATCGAATAGTGAAATAGACACTCTATTGATTATTATAGATTTTCTATTTCTTGTAACAGAAGCTCACCAGGTGCTTATCAATGTTTGTTTATAGAATAATTACAAAAGCATTTGGGGAACATAAAGACATTGGTGGAGGATTCTGGGTGCTTTCATGGTGGGTGTGGTGTGATAACATAGCTGAAAAGGTGTAAGCCTATATCCCTAAATCATAAAGTGTTATAAACCAATGTTATCTCAATTAAAAAATAGAGAGAATAATTAATTTTATAATATATCATTTGGGTAAATCTATTCATATGGAAAACCTACTGAAATTTAAATAAAATATGATATTTAGTTAATAATAATGTATCGGTATTGGTTCACTAGTAGTGACAAATGTACCATCAAAACATAAGCTGTTGGGCCCTCCCTGATGGCACAGCAGGTTAAAGCACAGCACTAAGAAGCTAAAGCCACTTCAGCATGAGTTCAATCCCAGCCCCAGGAGGTGGCAGACCTCTCCTGACACACCACGCTGCTCCCCTCAGCAGTGTACTTTGTCTAACTGCGTTTTCTGCTCCCCACTCTGTCTCTGGTGAAGTTTCTCACTGCCCCTGTACCTCTCGCCTGTACCCCAGTTCTGTATGCATAAATAAATAAATCTTTAAAATATATGTATATATATGCTGTTAATAGGGAAAATGGTGTGAGGTATAAGAACCTATACTATTTGCAACTTTTCTATAATTTTTAAATTATTCTGTAATTCTAAAAATTATTTAAATTAAAACATGATAATAAAAAAGTCTTGAAATTATAATGTTAACCAGAACACAAATCAACACTTACAATGTGATATTTTTTACATAATTTCGAGGAGCATATACCATGTAATTGCTAACACCCAGCTGGTTTTGTTATGAATGGTGAAGTTATTATTGTCATGTGGTAAAAATCAAAAACTCTAGTTCATTTTTCTGTCCAGTGATTCTCTAAAATCAAGCAACTATGCTGTCTTTTTTCAGCCTTTGTTTCCCTTTTGAATTAACAATTAGCAGTAGTGGATATTCGCTGAATCTTACCTTACGAATATTCGCTGAAATCTAACCATATGTAGACACACTTATTACAACTTGTTAAGTGCTTTTCTGTTTAGTTTTCCTAAACAATGCTATGAGGTGGAGGCTGTTATTGTCCTCATTGTACAGAGGTTAAATCTTTCTCCTACATGGTGGAGCTTCACCATGGTGAGGATATCTGGTTCGAGTCCACACTCTGACTCTGCTCTCTTCCCTCTCAGCCATCTGTCTTAGAATGCTGCCATTTAGTGTCCATGCAGAGTCCTTGAATTCCTACATCAGGCATGGCAATGTGGAAGGAACACACTTCAACCCCCAGTCTCCAGCCTTCCTTTGTTCCTAGTTTCACATTCTGATGCCAGAAGTCTAGGGTGGATGAAGGTGAACTCTGCAACCCAGGTCTCCAGGTTCTGTTCCCACTTCACACACTGAGCGCCTTGGCCTCCAGCCTAGAGCACATGCCAGAACAGAACTAAGAAAGGCTCAGCCAAGCCAGGAGAGAGGGCTTCAGAGATTTGAACAGTGGACTCTGGAGATAATACTAATCATGTGCAGTCTGAAAA